GAGGGCTAAACTCTTCTCCAAGGTCACCTAGCCTACGATGGCAGGAGTTGGCAACTCAAGACTCTGACTGCAAAGCTGTCCTCCAAACAAGAGGTTTAAAACTGTCCTTAAAGGCCCTGGAGAGCCACAAGAGGAGACTCAAGATACTTCAAATAACGAAGCTCTCTGCTCCTCATGGATTTTTGCACTGAAACCATGCAAAACAACTTTTTTTTTTTTTAATAAAGGATTCGGTTTGAACATTGTTACATTTATTCCATATTCCAGGAAGGCCTTACTGTGAAGTAGAGGAGGCTGGAGGCTGGAGAAAAAGCCACTGAATTTAGAAATGGGGAGCCTAACGGTGACCTGGGTATAGGGAGTCAGCGCACTTTGGTTACTAGCAACAGAAACAAACTGGCTGTAGGAAGCCGAGACCAGACAGTACTGAAATTCACGATGAAAGCAACATTGAAGGAGCCTTTCGAAATGCACTCAGGAGGCCAGTGGGAAGCCGTCCCTGTGCACTTTTCAAACTGGTGCTAGGAATGTGAACTTTGGTTACCCTTGCCCTCTGACCGCAGGCATCTTGAACAGGTGCCTGGAGACTCAACGTGCCTATCGACGGGTCTCGGGACTTTTGCTTTATGGACAGTTTTCACTAAGCATGAACATTCTTTTCTTTATCTTCCATGGGTCACGCTAGCCTCTGTTATTCAGTACCCGATCTTCCTCAATTTCAATAGAATTCCCTACAGAGGGATTCTACCTCTTTCTACTGTTTGCCCATTTAAGCCCTGACTTCTTTGGAACATTGACTCAGAGCTCTCTGAACCTGTGTCTCCTGAGTTACAATCACGAAGGCTCCAATAAATACCTCTTTACTTCTGCAGTTGCTAAGTTTGCACTGATCAACAAAGAAACTTATGACAATGGTGTGGAGATGTACTGGGTATCCATTCTCTCTTCCTAACAGCTCCTTTAAGTTAGCTAGGGCTGAATTCGAATACTTGCAACCAAGAGCGCTAACTGATTTGGGTTAGCTCACAGAACTGAAGGGAAACCTAAAAAACCTGGTTTGGAAATGATGGTAAACAAGGAAGAACTGAGTCCTTCCCCGGGCACCTCTGAGAGAGCTCAGGTCTTTTGTCCTTCCTTGTTCAAGATGAAAATTCCAGCTATTCTGTGGGGACAGGTCAGGCACTTTGATTGACAGTCCCCCTGCCCTACTATCCTGGTAGACAAAGTTTCACTTTGCCAAACCCAAATCAGGGCACTTTATCAGAAAAAGGATAAACAGATGGTAGGTACAAAACAAAATAGCCAATATCCCCAGAAAGAGAGGAGAGAGAGAGGTTTCCATAAAATGAAATTTGATTGAGTCCAACAGTTCAAGAGGACAAGGCTCCATTGTATAGTTAAAGACAGCTGTTAGTTCCTGGGAATTTCTCAAATCTTCACCATTAACTTGTTTATGGCCACTTTAGAGTAGGCGTGGCTACAGGTGACTAACATCGCCTCCCTTTATAAACTTTTCCTTCTTTCCTTTACTATTTCCTTCCTCTTCTTCCTTGATAAATATTGCTTTAACACTCATAAAGTCATGTCCAAAGTTTTGGATGTATCATCTATTTTAACCTTGGATAGTTCTGTGTGTGGAAATGCGTTTGTGTGTGTGATACTGAAATAACTGGGACTGCATGAGCAAAAAGTATTGCTATCTTCCTTCTGATTTACTGGCTGTGTTCCCTTCGGTCAGTCACTTTGTCTATCTAAATCTCCACTTCTTTACCTGTAAGATACTCCGTGAGATTTTTACATACATGCAAGCTTACTGAGCACTTACTACATGCTCATCCACAGGTTACAAGGTAAATGCCCTCTCTGGACAAGCAGGTAATATCAACTGAAGTAGCTGGGGGCAGGGCATGTGAGACAATAAGGAACGGTGGGGATAATGGGGAAATGGAAAGAATGCTTCTTTCATAAAGAGAGTGGCTTCATTTAACTCTAGGTCACAACATTCATAGTGTGGTCTCTTAACTAGCGGTATCACCTGGAAACCTCTCAAATGCACATTTGTATCCCAGGCCTATTAATCAAAACTCAGGGGAGTGCCAGGAACAGCGGTGCATGTCTATAATCCCAGTGACTCTGGAGGCTGAGGCAGGATGATCCTAAGTTTGAGGCCAGCCTCAGAAATTTAGCAACACTCGGCAACTTACCAAGACCCTGTCTTAAAATAAAAAATAAAAAGGAATGGGGACTGTAGCTCAGTGGTAAAGCACCCCTGGGTTCTAACTCCAGTATCAAAAATAAAAACAGAAACCCCAAAAACTGCAAAACCTCTGGGGGTGGGGTGGGGTGCTGCAACCAGTGTTTGAACAAGCCCTCCAAGTGATTCTGACACAGGCTGCCCTGAGACCCACACTGTAACTGAGGGCTGCTATGTACAGGCTGCAGGACCGGGCTGCCAGGTCTTGTTCTTTTTCCAAGAGAAAAAAGAGGTTTATTTTTATGTGAAATTCCCCACGTTTAAATCTTGGCAACTAATTTAAATTTTAAAAATGTACTGTGTGGGCTAACAATACATGCACTATAGCTGGATTTGCTGCCTCTGGTCTCTGTTCTTCCCTTTAATCCTTAGAATAATCTTATGAGATGTCATGATGATGCTCATTTTGTGGAGGAAGACGTAGGTCCTAAAAGTGACGTGCTCCTCAAAGTTACAGCCAGAAAATGGCTAACCCCGACGTGAGACCGGGATGCATTTGGTTTTAAAGTCTCTGCTCTTTTTACTTATGCAAAAGAGAAAACAATATGACTTTTCATATTGTGGCTCTGACACCGCAAAAACTAAACATCTGATGCCATCGACCTATGAAATGTTCTTTCCATCCTTCTACCACCCCACCCCACTTCCTGAGCCTCACACTAATCCGCATTCTTTTAAGAGTGAGCCAATCAGCAAGGGGGGGGGGGGCTCTGAAGAGGTGGGAGGGGCGAGGCTGGCGGTTTCCTGGCCAGGGGGTGCTGGATAGGTCCTGGACAATCAGACGGCAGCCTGCTGGGCCACAGGCTGAACCCAGGGGCTCACCACAGTGTCCTCTGCCGTGCCCTGAGTGTCGGGAGTTTGCCCAGGGCTGCGTCTCCCCCTGGCTCTCGCCCTCATGGCTGTTGACTGTTCTGAGCTCAGAGCAAATAGTCCTGGCCCCTCCCTACAACGGCATGTGTCCAGGGCTGAGGCTGGGCCTGGGAAGCTGGGGGAGACATTCTCAGACTCTTTCATGGACACCCATCATGGGAACGGTGGCTCATTGTACCCACATCAGCAAACTACTCACCCGTCCTCCTGATTTTCATTGTTCCTGACCCCTCTAGCCACCAGCAGCAAAGACTTCACTGGGTTTCCAGAACCTCAGATTACTGGAGCAAGAAAAATGTTTGAAGGCACTTCTTTCTAACTCCCTTGGCAACCATTTTGACATTTACCACCCTGGATTCTAACAGTATATACAGTTGTCCCTAAGTATCCCGGATCCCTGTGTATATCCACCCACAGATGCTCAAATCCTACATATAAAAAGGAGCAATATTTGTATATAGCCTGGGAGCATTTCACATACACTCTAAATCCTGTATAGATTGCTTAGAATACCTACTGGAATGTAAATGCAATGGAAGTCGGTGTATACTGTGTTGTTTAGGGAATAGTGGAAAGAAACAAGTGTGTACACATTCAGTACAGGTGCATTTTTTTTCCCAAGCGTTTTTCATCCAATGTTGGTTGAATGCAAGATCATGGAAGCCATAGATGTGGAGGGAGGGGGGGGGAGGCTGTACTAGACAGTCTCCTTACCTGTTACTGAGCACTAGAGGCCACTTATGTAGCACCTATTGTGTGCCAGACCTGGGGTTCCTATGTCAGTCAGTGTGAACTTACCTACCAGGAGTACATACGTGTTCCACGGCAGGCACATTAATGTTGTAGATGAATGTTTATGTTATAGATGACAAAATGGTCGTTCTGAATGGAGAAGTAAGTCACTTGAAGACCCTCGGGTGGAAAGTGATGGAGGTGTGTCAAACCTAGACACCAGAGCTCAGTGATTCCTATGGACTACTTTCTCTATCCCAAGTGCCCATGTGTGTATACACCCGGCGAATATTTACGATGGAGTGGGGAAAAAAAGGCCCCAAACAAGGCCTGTAGGGAGAGATCTGGGGTGAAATAGACTTGTCCGCACAGCTTTGCATGGGACCTTGGTGAGGGGGGGCGGTCCTAAACCTCTGTACATCACTTTATCATATCCAGTTGGCAAGAATAACCCTCTTGTCAAAGGCTGCTGGGAAGATCCATGAGCGCAGGAGCATGGTACCTGGTGGCAGTCAACCCCGATTGAGTGGTTGACTCAATAGAAATGCACCCAGTATGGCTGGGAACTGCTAACAGTCTTCCACCTCCGCGGGCATGTTCCTTGTCAGATGGGTTCATTTATCACCGACAGGCGCCATTTCTACAGCCTGTACCACCCAGCCCTCCACCACCAATCCTTAAACAGGGATCTGACCCCAAGTCCAATCACTTAATCCTCAAGGTCTCTTGCCTCCCTGTGGCCTTGCTCTTTCCCCCTCCAACCCTCAGCCTTGGACATTCCAGGAGGACTCCAGTGGAGCCCTGGGCTTGGACTGCGCTGGCTTCCCGCGGCCCTACCCTGCCCTCAGGCCCCAGGAGGGAGGAAAGGAGGGGGGAGTGGACAAGGGTCCGGCTGCAGCTGGTCGAGCTGCTCCTGGCCTGGAAGCTGCTTAGGTTCCTGGTTCCCACCGGGGCCAAGAGTGACACCTGATCCCGGGGGATTGTGAAATGGCATGAGGTGGCAGTGCTCCCGCTGTGCCCATTGGGCTCTTAGGCCCCCACCGCACCCCCTAGCTCGGCCCCGCCCCTGCCCCACGCCCCCCGCGCGCGCGGTTAAATCCCCCCACCCGGCTGCCGCTGCACCTGCACCCCGCCCCGGCGCAGCACGATGCCTGTCCCTCGCCTCTGCGCGCTGGCCGCCGCCCTCCTCCTTGGACTGCTGCTGCTGGGCCTCCCTCCGGCTACAGGTGAGTGGGGCGGGGAAAGGCCGGGTGCCCAAAGGGCCGAGCCACCTGCGCAAGACGGAGTCAGGCAGAGGTGTAGCCTCCCTGGGGGCTGGGGAAGTGGGGATTCTTGGGGCGGAAGTGGGGACACCCATGAAAACTAAGATTTGGTGATCTCTGGGGCCTAAAGCTAGTGACCCTTGGAGCTCGGGGTGTGGAGCCAAGGTCCTGGAGGTGGTGAGACTACCAGGGGCTAAAATTTGGAGGGGCGGGGCGGGTGCTGAGGGCGGAGACGGGGCTGCCCTGGAGCGGGGAGCCGTCTAGACGCAGGAGGCTCCCAGGCGCTCAGGCGTGCAGTCCCCTGAGGACTGAGATTTGAGGATCTGAAGCCACGCCTGGGGACCTCCTGTACTCCCAGGATTCGGGAACCCCTGGGGTGGTGTGGGCCTCTAGGAGCTTTTAGAGGGTCCCCAGGGCCGGAAAGTGAGAAGGCCAAGGAACTGAGATTTGGGGGTCCTTAGAGTAGGAAGCGGGCATCCTCTGGGACTGGGGCCCCCGACTGACCCTCCTCCTGCCCTCGCCCGTCCGCAGGCGCGGGGGAGAGGGCGGGCGTGTGCCCGCAGCTGCCGGCGGACGTGAACTGCACCAAGGAGTGCCTCTCGGACAGCGACTGCGCCGACTACCGCAAGTGCTGCCAGGCCGGCTGCGGCAGCGTGTGCTCCATTCCCAACGGTGACCCCGCGGCGACCCGGCGGGGACGGGCGGGGCCGCGGAGGATGCGGGAGGCGGAGCACCGCGTTCTGGGAAGGAGGGCGCCCCTGCACCCGGGGACCCGGGAAGGTCCAGGCGGGTGAAGCAGATGCGTCCCCGCCGTCCTCCCCGAGTGGGCGGCGGGCGACAAAGCGTCGCCGAAGCCAGGCGGAAGGCGAGGGCGGTCCCCTCGCCCTGGCTGCATTTGGTTCTCGGGTGCATGACGGCTTCCGGGAACGCGCAGCGGGACGTTGTTCCGAGCAGCCTGGGGACCCGCTGCGCTTCCTTCCCAGCCGGCAGGGGCCTGCGGGAATCCCGGGCGGCCTCCGAGCTGGGCGGGAGGCCCGGGCGCCGGCTCTCAGCTGCCCTCCCCTGGGCCTCCCAACCCTGGGGAAGAGGGCTAGCAGCCCGGGCCGGCGAGACTCGCAGGTTCCTCCCTCTAAAACTTCCCAGATTAGAGGAGCCCACATCTTGACCTGTAGACGCGAGCCGCGGAGGGAGCCACGGTCCTGCCTAAGGTCGCATTGCCATCCCGTGGCTGACAGTTCAAGTTTCTAAAATTTATTTTTTATTTTTTGTGTTTGCTATTTACTAGCCGAGAGGTTTGAAGAATGCCAGGACCTCTCCCTGGGCACCTTATCCTCCTTCTTAATTTTTAAATTTATCTCTCTCTTCCATCCGAAGTACCCAGAAAGGGTGCCGAGGTGCTCCGTCGGGGTGCTCGCTGGGGCGCTACCCTCTGCACCAGGCTGTGAACTCTGATCAGGGCGAGATGTGGCCTTGGCATGGAATCCAGGCTTCTCATTTCCCAAAGGGAAAAACACGAAAAGCAGGGATACCATCTGGGGGGAAGGGGCGCGCGTGGGAGGGCGACGTGGGAGACCCAGGTACTGTAATTACTGGTCTTTACCCAGGATACAGCCTCTGCGATTTTTCCTCTTGGTTATTTCCCCATCAAAATGCCAGCCGAAGCTGGGAATTGGGAGACCCTGGACCCTGTGAGGAGGGCAGTGGGAGGTGGAGGCGGGCTTGCCCACTAGGGGGCAGCATCTCGGTGTGGAGACCTGTAGTGTGGACCTGAGAGGGAGGACCAGAAGACATGAGGACTGGGAGAGGAGGTCAGAGGCAGAGCCAGGTGGAGGGGCAAGAGGTGTTGTTGGGTGGATAACGAGGCACAGGCCAGAGAGCTGCCTGGGCCGGGGAGGAGCCCGGAGGCTGGAATCCCAGCCCTGGCCTTTCCAGGTGTGTGATCTTGAGCAAGGTGCTTTATCTCTGAGCTTCTGCTTTCTTGTTTGCACAGTGGGATTGATATGAGGGCTAAATGAAGTGGACCTCGAAGTGTCCCATTGATGCGGGGACATTCTGTGTACTTAACAGAGCTCTTCCCTGTTTATACCCTTTTAGTCCCAGGGCCACCTGTTATTGAGAGCTTCTGCCCTTTTCAAGGGAATGGGTTTCTTTGTAAGGGAGTCAGGACTCTGTCAACCAGGCTTGAGGTCCCCTGCAGCTAATCAACAAGTTTTGGGCCTAATTTTACATTTGGCTGATCCTGGCTTCCTTCTCCCTGACCCAGAAGTAGAGTGGTGTGTGTGTGTGTGTGTGTGTGTGTGTGTGTATTATAGAAGGCTGGGCTCAGGTCTTAGTTTACTCCTGAGCAGCAGGGTGCTGCTGGGTGGCACCTCTCTATGCCACGTTTTTCTCATGCATGATATAAATAGGGTTAGAAATATCCCCTATGGCTGGGTGTGATGGCCCATGCCTATAATCCCAGTGACTTGGGAGGCTGTGGTAGGAGGATTGCCAGTTCGAGGCCAGCCATAGCAACTTAGCAAGACCCTAAGCGATTTAGCAAGACTCTGACTCAAAAGAAAAAAAAATGTGTGTGTGTGTGTATATATATATATATATATATATATATATATATATATATAGGCTGGGGGTGTGGTTCAGTGGTAAAGTGCCTCTGAGTTTAATTCCTTTTACCAAATAAATAAATAAATAAAAGAAAAAGAAAGGAGAAAGAAAAAAAGGAATATCCCCTACAATGGAAATGGAATGGTTCATGTGAAGATTAAAGGAGATAACAGGTTTCCATAGAGAGCACACAGCACATCTCCGCAGTGTTTGCTCTAGTGTGCATGTGTGTAAGGATGTGTGGTTTTATCTGTGCATTAAGTATGGAGGGCCACGGTGCTGAGTGATTTTGATTGGCAGTGAGTCAGTGGAAGTGAGTGAAGAGAAGGTTGAGTGTCCTCTTCTCGTGTGCTCAGCCCATTGGGTGATCCTGCACTGTGTCACCAGCCATGCCAGGTGCTGGTTTTAGCAGCAGGTGCGCAGGGGGCTGGCACACACATTCTGGAGCTAGATTTCCTGCAGTTCAAATCTTGCCTCAGTCCTGTGTGACCTTAGACAACTTAACCTTCTCTGTTAGGGAGAGAAGCTTAACAGAGTGGGTAGGAAAGCAGGAGCATCCCTGGGGCACTTCAGGAAGAGCCAGAGGGCTCTTTCTCTGCCTCACTTTCCTCCTCTGCAACCTGAGGAACTATTAACAGGCCTCTCCTCCTCTCTTAGGGATTTTGTGAGGATGGAATGAGCTAATATGTGTCAAGTGCTTGGAATAAAGCCTGGCTGACAGCAGGGGTGAAGTCATTTTAATAACTACTCATTATTATTACACAGTAGTTTGCTCTTTGGGGGGAGAAACAATGTATGTTTGCTTCCATTGCGTTTGCAACCACCCCCTGAGGTGTGTGACACTGACACCTGAGGCATGAGGGATTTCTGGCCCCAGTCCACAAACGGCAGAGCAGGGACTCAACTGGGGGCTTATGATTCTGAAGGCATCTGGGAGCAGAAGGACGGAATTGCAAGTGAATTCCCTGGCTCAGGCCCCCAAAATCAGAATTCCAAGGCAGCTCCGCTGTTTATGAGTCAGGGTGAGGGGCCGTGGTGTATCCTGCTATGGCTGTCACCTCTCTGTCCCCCCTTTGACCTGCCTCCTCTTACTCCTTTTTCTACCCAGAGAAGCCAGGTTCCTGCCCCAATGTGGACTTACCCCAGCTTGGCATCTGCCAGGACCAGTGCCAGGAGGACAGCCAGTGTACTGGCCCCATGAAATGCTGCCGCAATGGCTGCGGAAAGGTGTCCTGTGTCACACCTGACCCCTGAGGTAGGTGGGCAGAGAGCAAGGTCAGGCATCGAAATCCAAGGACGACGGTACCCTCAGCGGGTTGAAGAGGGAGACCTGTGCACATGCTCTGGAGCTCACGCGTTGGACTATTTATTTACTTTAATTCATTCACAGTTACTGGTTGAGTCGTGTGCTCTGACCACTCTGGGGCTCTGGGGATGCTCCATGAATGAACAAATTGACAAAAATGTCTCTCGGGTGGGGTTTACAGTCCAGTGGGTGATAAACCAAGTAAGTCAGCAAGCAGATTCTGCAGCATGTTACAAGGAGAAAGGGCCCAGGGGAGGGGAAGACAGGGGACAGCCTTGGTGAGGCCTTCACAGTGAAACCCATGTGAAGGCCTCACCAAGAAAGTGGGAAGAGAGGGAGGACACTGTGGGGATGTCCAGGGAGCATCAGGTACAGGGAGCGGTGGATGCTAAGGCAGGAGCATCCCTGGGGGACTTCAGGGAGAGAGATGCCCTGGATCAGGGTGCAGGCAGGGCAGAGAGGTGGCTGGGATGGAATGTGGTGAAGGCAGGTGGGGCAGAAACAAACCAAACGCTTGGTTGGCCCGTTGGGTGATCCTGCCCTGTGTCACCAGCCATGCCAGGTGCTGGGACACAAAAGTGACCATTGCCCATCCCCAGAGCTTGAAGCCCAGGAGCTGAGGCGGATGGGTGGATGACATGCCCAGTGCCCATAGTCAGCTCCTGGTGCCGTGGGAAACAGGAACATCACACAGACGGGTGGGGGCAGTGGACAGATGGAGCAGACCAATGGGGGGAGGCTTCCCGGGGCGGTGGCCTGAGCCACAACTAAAAGGTGAGTAAAAGGTAGGTGGCCCTGTGCAGTGCAGTGGGGCAGCCGTCGCAGGCAGAGGGAACAAGAGGAACTTGGAAGTGCCCTTTGGTTGAACACAATTTCAGCAAAGGAACCTGAAGGTCACGGATGAAACCCATTGAGTGCGCAGAGGAGAGACCTGAAGCCTTGAGAGGGAGGACCTGCCCCAGGTCCTGCTGTTTCAAAATGTGCTCTTTAGTGGTTAAGAGGGAGCCATAGTTTCCCCAGGGCCCAGAGCTCTCCTATGGTGTCAGCCACATGGGTGGGTTTTGCAGGCAGGAAGACCCAGGTTCAAATTTCAGCTCTGACATGTAACTGGCCTTTTCACCTCCCTGAGCCACCACTGTTTTGCTTCTAGAATGTGAATAACTGAGATCTATTTGATCAGCTCATCTCAGCTTAGTGTGTGCAATGACACCACAATGGCAGTTCCTGGTGGTAGAGGGATTCCTAGCGGGGTGAATGCCCACCGTCCCTCAGGAAGGCCACAGTGGTCAGTCAGGACAGGATATACCCAGGTGCGTCCTGGGGATGATCAGAAGCAGAAGAGATGGATCTAGAACCTTCAGGAAATTGCAAGCAGTTGAAGCTTTGCTGTGTATGAGTGGGATGGTGGGTTGGGAGGAGTCGGTCCAGGATTTATGTGGCTGCTACTCCTGTCCAGTGTGATGGATGTCATTTTTGATGCTATTGTTACGATTCTCTTCCTCCAGCTCCAGCCACCACCAGCCTGAGGAGTGGGGAGGGGAAGCTTCTGCCTAGACACACATCCGGCCCCCTCATGGCCACCCTCCCTTCTTGGTAGCCTCTGCACTCCTTCCTGGGCTGACCATGGCTTCTCCCTTCTCCCGCCAATAAAGTGACTGCTTTCAGCATTGGTGGTGTCATAGCTTCTGTTCTTATCATCCTGTCCCTGTTTCCTGACACTTGGGTTGGGGTAGGTGGGGCAACCAGATCGTCCAGGCGTGAAGTCCGGGGAGGGCTTAGCTCTGACCCATGGATTCAGGCCTTGTCTCCACATGTCAGTGTTTTCCTGGTGAATGCGTGCACCCGTCCTGTGAGGTTGGTCATTGTCCTCCAAAGGTGATGAATGAGAAAAAGAGGTCAGAGAAGAGATGGAATGCCTCCAAAGTCACTCCCATTCACAGCTGGGCATCTGGTGATAGCAGCAGCATGGGCCATGTGCCAAACACACTTGGCTTGTGAGGTCTCCTGGCTTCTCAGAATCCTCAGAATAATTAATAACCATCCCAAGTTACAGACTGGGACTCCAAGAGGTTACTTACCCAAGACCTCACAGAAAGAAGGTGGCGCCACTGGAGGTCAGATCTAATATTCAGAGTGACTCTGAGGTCTGTATGTGTTGCTCATACAGAGCACAGCACAGTGCCTGGCAGGATGTATGACGGTGAGTGTTCCTTGGACAGTGGGTAAGAGCTCGCGTGGGCTTGAAGAGAGCCCTTGTATGAGCCTGGCAGGTGAAGGGGATGCCCGGGTGAACCTGCCTGCTTCCATCCTGCCCTCCAGCCCTGAGGTCAGGGGAGTCTGAGAGAGTGATGGGGAGAGCTTTGCAATGCATGGGAAGGGACACTTTGGGATTAGGGGTGTCCCCATCTTTGGGTCTCGTTGATTCCTCTCGAAATAAATGAAAAGAGAACCTCATGTTTTTCTCCTCTCCCTCCAACTAGTAGCCATTGTCCTTGCTTAAGGCAAACCAAGGCACCCTAGGACCAGGCTTTGTAGTCCTCTCCCGTGTGGCAGGAAGGTGTGGAATGGCCTAGTGGACAGGGGCTTTCACACAAATTCACTCATTTTCATTTAAAAGTGGTCTCAAATGTCTTCAAGCCCTCCCTTCTCTCCCTTCCTTTCCCAGTTTGTGTTTCCTTTATCCGTGTCACAAGACTCCAGAAACCCTTTCCTTATCTAATTTAAGCCCTTTAAATACCAGGTTTCCACATTCACTCCCCTCCCCCTTCCAAAGCTTCATCTTCCAATGGGTGAAGCAGTGATTCACAGGAAGCTGTGAATGGCTCTCTAAGATTTTGTGCCCGTGTGTGTGTGTGTGTGTGTGTGTGTGTGTGTGTGTGTTTTACAAAGAAACTCTTGAGACTTTAAACGTGATGTCCACATTTGTATTATTTCAGGCCCAGAGATGAAATGATCTTAGGAACACGTGGGGACAATGAATTTGGGGGTGGGAGAACGGATCTCTCATTATGAAGGGGGGTTGAAATGCCTCTAACAGCCCTGGCGCAATCCTGACTCCGTGGCGGGCTGTGTCCTCGTGAGGAAGTCACGTGGTTTTGCAGGCTTCCTCACACAGAATTTTCTCCCTAAACCTGTTGTCATTTCCTTCGCAGCCCCCGTAGAGAAATGGCTCACACTGGTTTTCCTCCATTTTGTAATACCATCTGTACAAGCCAGCGCGACAGGAGCCCTTCTCCAGAGGCAGATTGCATATGCTCGGATCTACAGAGAGAAAGCAGTTGAGGGCGGCCAGGCCTTCCCCTTCCCCTGGTCCAAACCCCTTTGTCAGGGGTTGAGATGACCCAGAGCACAAGAGTGAGGCTGGCGTGGCAGCTGTGCCCCGTCCCTCTCCTTTCCAGCCCACGGAAGTTGAAGATTCCATTTTTAGAAGTTGCCCGAAGGAGTGCAAATCCCACACTTCATCATTTTTTTTCCAATCGACCCACGTGGTTTTATTCTAACTCAAACTTCACTTTACGCACCCTGTAAAACTGTGATCACCAAGGGGCCAAGTGACTTTTCCAAATCGCTTCACCACTTGGGGCCAATCTCATACTAGAGGCTGCCGCTCAAGTGTACATTTGTTTGTTTGTAATGTTAAGAAGTTGAACTTCACGGGCTGGGGTTGTGGCTCAGTGGAAGGGGGGACTGGGGTTGTGTGTGGCTCAGCGGTAGAGTGCTCCCCTAGCATGCAGGAGGCCCTGGGTTCAGTCCTCAACACCACATAAAGAAATAAATAAATAAACAAAATAAAGGTATTGTGTCTAACAAAAAAATAAATATTAAGAAAAAAAGAAGTTGAACTTCACATCTCCTGGTGCCTTTCAAGATCTGATTTCCTAGAGCAAGCTTTCCCAGGCTTCCGTCTCTCTCATGGTCAGTTCTAGAACAGACAGCCCCTGGGGAAAAGGTAGGTTTTGAACCTGAGAGCAGGGTTTAGACTTGACTCAGTAACTTTCTAGCTGGGTGACCTTGGAACAATGAGCTATCGTTAATTTTCTTTCACTGTAAAATGGTCTCTAACATCCACACTTGAGGCTTTTTGAGAGGTTAGAGATAACCAATAAAAATCACTGATAAACAGCGGCTGTTCTTAGATGGTTTCTTAGCCAAAAAAAGCCCTTGAGCCCAGGAATGTCATCCGGCTGTTTCTGTGGTCCTAGTGCCTAACGAGGGCCTGACTCTTAGTTCTCAGTAAATATTTGTCTTCAGAGAACAATAACTAGGAACGCATCTGGGGCTGTGTCATAAGTTCCTTTGTACTCTCCTTTCATGTTCTTGTCACCATCTGAGTGGCTTTATCCTTGTATTTACCCTTCACACAGCTATTATGACTTCCAGTGTTACATGAAGAAACTAAGGTCAGGGAGATCAAGTGCCTGTCCTGGCATCCTGCTGGGAAGCGGGGGACCTAGAATCAAACCCGGCATAGACCAGCTGCACAGGTGTGCGGGGACTCCAGCCACCTTTGTTGTGATAGCATTTCAGACAGCATCCCTGGAGGGAAAGGATCAGCTCTGCCTCCTCCCCCACCTGCAGGCTGATGGGGGGCGAGGGATAATGAAAGGAGCCCCTACCTGTAAGGAAAGCTGATTCAACAAATCTCTCACCTTTAAATCTGGGCCACCAAGAGCCCAGACTTTGGAGCCCCCTTTCCCGGCTGTACTTTTCCTGTGACGCCTTATCACCTAGCATGTTATTATGTGTGATAGGTACTATGTGCCTCTCTCCCACTAGAATAGGAATTCCACAAAGGCAGGACCTTTGGCTTCCAGCTTCAACCCCAGCACCCAGGACGGCGGCTGCACGTCACACAAGCTCAGCATACATGTAAGTGTGAGGTGAGGAACGGATTCGGTGCAGCTGCGCCTCTGTCCTAGTCCCGACACTCTGAGGTCCCACGTTCCACACTCACCTTTTTCTGACTGAGTCTGAAGCTCTTGGCAGGTGAGAACCAGGAGAAGTAAGAGAGAAGCCTGGAAGCCCATGTTCTCGCCCAGCGGTGGCCCAGCCTAGCACTGCCTTTTTAGAGAGAAAGGGGACCAAAAAGGGGTGGGGATGACCCCATATTTTGCTTATTCCCTCCTAATTCCTGCTTCTCACGGGGGTAGCTTCCTCTGGAACAGAGTGTTCCGAGCACAGTTCTGCCTTTCTCCTCCCAACTTATCTGATCTGGCCACCAAAGCCAATTTGCTACCACTGCAGGGTGAAAAGCCCTTTTACCAATTCTAAATCACGCACCAGATGCCTTTCTTTGCCAGGCACCATGGAAAAACCTCTTTTTAAAAAAATTTCTAATTTGTGTTTTTTTTTTTTTTTTTTTTTTTGTAAATTGAAATATGCTTTCCACATTGTCTCTCGAATCTACATAGGAAATCCTTGAGACTTAGGACCCCATGCTATGGTTTGGATATGGGTTGAGTGTGTTGCTTAAGGTTTGAATGGGGTCCCCAGTGAGGTGAGGTCGAGAGGTGGGGGAGCCTTAACAGACAGGGCTTAACGGTCAGGAGATGAGGTCACAGGGGTGCTGCTCTTGGAAGAGGTTAATGGTATCTCGTGAGACCCCAGTCAGTTCCCTTGACAGCAGGTTATTGTGGAGAGAGGACGCCTGGCCCCTAAGTTGCCCAGGCTTCCTCTCTTACCAAGGCACATGTTCCCTGTGCCCTCTCACATGTACTCCTGCCGAGACACTATCTGCCATATTGTGACACAACCAAGAAGGTGCTCACCAGAGGCCAAACTGAGAGGGCCACCTCATCTTGAAAGACTTTAGCCTCCAAAACTGTGAACTAAAATAAAATAGGTTAAACAGCTGGGCACAGTGGTGCACACCTTGCACACCTATAATCCCAGAGACTCAGAGGCAGAAGGATCACAAGTTTGAGGTCAACCTGGGCAAGACCCTGTCTCAAAACAAAGCAAAACAAAACAAAAAAATAAAAAGGGTTGGGAATGTAGCTCAGTAGTAGAGCACTCCTGGCTTTAATCCTCAGTACAAAAAAAATATTAAAATAAGTTACATAGACTTGGATACCTTGCTATAACAAAGGAAAATGAACTGATATACCCAGTTTTGTAGGTGAGGAGAGGTTGAACTACCCTGACCATTGATAGCAAGTTTCAGAACCAGGCCTGAGACCCAAGTTTGCCCACTCCGATGCTTTTGTGTCTCTCATTCAATCCACAGATATTCATCAAGTACCCTCAGTGCACTGGGCAGAGCATCAGGTGCAGCCTCTGTACTATCCGGGTGCTCCAAGGGAATTATGGAAGCAGCAGACATATATGGTATGAGGTCAGAAATGGCTACCCCCTTGGAAAAACAGCAGACTTAGTATATTTAAAAAGAAATGTAAAAGCTCAGGGTGAAAGGAGAGCCCAGCTTTGGGTGGTTCAGGGTGTCATTCTGTCTGGAGACACATCCCAGTCCTGAGTCCAGGGTCCAGCACATTTCCCACCTGACTCCTCTCCTGGATCCAATTGTTTTTGAAAGGCAAAGCTGCCATGGCTTTGTGGGACTTAATGAACCTTGGGTTTGAAGTCTGAAGTTGTCCTTGAATTCAGCTACTCTTCTTCTTTTTTTTTAATCATCATCATATTTCTTTTGTTACTATTATTCATTTATTTATTTTTGCAGTATTGGAGATTGAACCCAGGAAAGCTAGGCAAGCACTCTGTTACTGAGTTAAATCCCCAGTCCCTATTTATTTATATTAAAAATATTTTTTTTCCTGTGGTGGTAGATGGACAGCATGACTTTATTTTATTTACTTATTTTTATGTGGTGTTGAGGATCGAACCCAGTGTCTCACATGTGCTAGCAAGAGCTCTACCACTGAGCTACAGCCCCAGCCCCCTCACCTATTTTTTAATTGACAAAAATTTGGTCTATGTGACCTGACTAACATGCTACTTAACATATGCATTATCTCACATACCTATCACTGTGTGTGAGTGTGTGTGTGTGCGCATACTTGCACTTGCAGTGAGAACACTTAAAGCCTATTGGCAGTTTTCAAGTGTACAATATATTGTTATTAACTATAGTCATCACGTTGTGCATTAGATCTCCACAACTTATTTATCTTATCCAACTGATATTTTGTATCCTTTGGCAAATGGGTCTCCAATCTCCCTCCCCAGATCTGGTAATCACTATTCTACTCTCTGCTTTGAGTTCAGTCTTTTTAGATTATGTAATAAGTGAGATCATGCCGTATTTGTCTTTCTGTGCTCCTCATATTTCCCTTGGCGTAATGTCCCCAGGTTCATCTGTGTTGTCACAAACGACAGAAAGTCTTTCTTTTTAAAAAGACTGAGTAGTGATCATTGAGCTTCCATGTTTTCTTTATCCAGTCCGCCTCTAATGGGCACATTAGTTGATTCTAGTACGGTTACTCTTGACCTTGGGCTAGTCATTTATCTTCTCTGAGCCTCAGTGTTTTCTTTTTTTAATCTATAAATCCAGATTAATTATGCTAATTTAGTATACTTCCTAGAATTGGTGCAAAAATTCAATGAATATTCAAATGCTCTGTGCGTATGAGGTGCATGCACAGGTATGTGCCATTTGCGAGTGTGTGTGGCGTGATGCTTTTTTGCAGCTAAGCGTGCTGACTGGGTCAGCTCCATATTCGAGTCCTACAGCAATGTGTTCCCACCTTTGCACATGAAACCCCCTGAAGCCATGATGCTCACTCCTTGGCCACTGCCTCTTTCAACTACAGTCCACGTGCTTCTTGGTCAAGCCTCTCATCATATGCTGATCTTTACTATTCAGGAAAAGGAAAGGCAGGGGTGCCTATGGGTGCTTCTTGGTGGGGAGCTCACCACCGAGCTCTCTCTTCTGGAGCAGCTAGCTGGGGAGCGAAGAGCTGCCTTTAACACACTATTCAGCCCAGGGACAGTTGCAATGTCTAGAGACGTTTTAGGTGGTCACAAGTTGAGGATGAGGAACACCTATCTGTATTAGTGGAATGGGTAGAGCAAGGGGTCCTCCTAAACATCCTCCAATGCTCAGGACCCCCCCCCCCAACAACAAAGAGTTATCTCCCAAGTGTTAATTGTGCCAAGGTTAGGACACCCCACAGAAGAGTTATGGATATAAATATTTTCTAAAAATATCAAATATTTCCACCACTGGGCTGGGGATGTAGCTCCATGGTAGAGTGCTTGCCTAACATGCATGAGGCCCTGGGTTGGATCCCCAGCACTAAAAAATTTTTTTTCATCATTAACATTGTGTTAACGTCTCAGGACAGTGGGAGGCAGTGCCCGATGAGGGGTGCCTGTACTTATTTAGTCAAATGAGCCTTGCGAGTCTTTGAAAAGCAGGCATTGTGTACCCAGGTTGCCCTGGGGGAGCTGTGATCATGACTCAGTGACTTAGCCTGTCGGCAGATGAGCCGGTGGCAGTGTCTTTGTCATTCCAGAAGATGGAGGCCAAGGACAACATTTATTAAAGGCACATACAGAAGCTGGCAGGCACGTCTTGCTAGTTACCTTGCATTTACCAAAGGAGTCTCACCCTATGGCAGCCACATGTACGGCATGAGTGTAAAGAATACTTAATTTTGATTGCGCCCCATTGATGGTGGTGTAGGGATGGGAGAAGCAGATGAAGGCAGGATTTTAAAGAATAGCTTCCCCATTTGGTTCTGACTCTGTATAGCCTTCATCTTTTCTAGAAGGAGAAAGGGGACGGACATCCTATGTGCACCTACTAGATGTCAGGCCGTGTGCTGCTTTGCCTAAGTAAATTCTCATGAAAAGTCCTTGGACAGATATTACTGTCATCCCCATCTTATCAAACAGGAGAACAGGTGGTAGGAAGGGGCCAGGCTCTGTACAGTTATCACGGCCACCTACATGCCAATAGGGTCTGTTTTACTTTTTACTTTATATATGTTTAAAATACATGTCCAACCAGGCATGGTGGCACGTACCCGTCATCCCAGCTACTCGGAAGGTTGGGAGGAGAGGATCTTGAATTCCAGGCCAACCTGGGCAACTTATTGAGATGGTGTCTCAAAATAAAGTAAAAAGAGGTAAGGATGTAGTTCAGTGGTAGAGCACCCCTGGGCTTAATCCTCAGTATCAAAGTGAAATGAAATAAAAATAAGATAAAATAAATGTTCAGAGTGGAAAAATAGGGCTGGCCACTTTAAGAATAGATTCGATTCGTGCTTTCAGAAATTCAAGTGGAATTTTTAGCACAGGATAATTTTTAGCATTCTATGACTAATGGCTTGAATGTAAATAGGGACTCTAGAGTAGGGCAGACAATGTCTGTAGAACTCAGGAAACTGATCATAAAATATGGGGAATTCCTATCGTGGGGGGTTCAGATTGATCCTTTTCCTGGCAGCTGTGACCCTCCAGGGTTTGCATCTTAGTGGTTGAGCATATAAAGAGGCATCTGTTGTGTGCACTGATAACAGTGCTCATCCTGATTGTTATGGAACATCTTGTTCATACTGGGCAGTGTGTTATGCATGTTACATAAAGTCACTTCTGCGATCTTGATAAACACCGTACAGCTCAAGTTTTATTGTTTCGCATATTTTGAAGATGAGCAAACCAAGATCTGGGGAAGGTCTGAGACCTGCCCAGGTTTACTGAGTTTGCTGGTGGCTTGACTTAGATTTAACTCCAAGTTTCTCAGACTCAAGCCTTGGTTAAGTCATCACACCCAGTCCTCCCAGCCCCTTCTCCTGCAAGGGTCTCTGTCCCACAGTGTGACCCAGGCCATTTGTCACTTTTCCTATCCCAGGCAGACCGGATTCTCCTTGATCAGCTCTTGTGAACTTTTGGTCTTTATTCCTCCTAGAAACGGAGTCTGGTGGAAGGAGAGGAAAGAACTCACAGCATAGAGAGCAGGGTCTGGTGGGGCAGAGGGATCCTAGGCTTGGCTACAGACAGGTGTGGGTGTGTATCATTGACACACTTCTGTATTCACCCACATATTTACCATTTCTGATGTTCTTTA